AAATCCCAAACCACTGATTTAACATACTATTTCATAGAGCATAAGCATAGCATTCATCGTATATTGTCCTCCATAATACCTGAAAACTGTACTGGATGAGAGGACGTTTTATCCATACACCTGGCACCACTGTGCCCACCTGCGGCATTGGCCCAACCTCAGCGGCACAGTCTCCCTCTCTGACAGGAGTGTGTGGAACTAGGAACGTGTGACCTGTGTTCCCTTCTGTGTCTCACATAAGGACTCAGTTCCTCTGCACCCTCATAGCCTCCCCTCCTCCTTTCCCTTTGCCTTTTTTCTCTGCCTGGATTATCTCTAAACACCTCCCCTTTTCCTTCTCTTTATTCTGCTTGGAGTATCATCTAAAACTGGAATAGCTCAACATTATAATCTTTCGGGATAGATTTAATATCTTTAACATAATGGTGATGATGATTTCCTCTTTTTGTTTTCAGTCCTATTTGATTTTGATAGCAACAACAAATATGAAATTAAGAACAGCCTTGGGCAGAGGATTTTCTTTGCAGCAGAAGATACTGATTGCTGTACCCGAAATTGCCGTACCCGAAATTGCTGTGGGCCATCTAGGCCTTTTACCATGAGGATTGTTGATAATACAGGCCGAGAAGTCGTGACTCTGGAGCGACCGCTGAGATGTAGCAGCTGCTGTTGCCCCTGCTGCCTTCAGGAGGTCGGTGAGCAGTTACCAGAGCAGTTTAAAGTAGTTCAGCAAATAGTTTCACCTTCTCACTGAACCTATCTAATCAAATAAGATCTAAAAGAAAACTAATTGTATAGGAAACTGTACAGGAAAGAAGTAAATTGTATTGGAAAGGCCAGTGAACAAGAGTGAATGGTTAGCCCCATGCTCCTGAGCAGTCTTCCTTGTAGGATTGAGCATCAGCCCAGAGATAAGAGTTCTTGGTACTCGAGGAAAGATCAGATATGGCAGCTTAGTGAAATCACTTGTTGGAAATTAATGTAAGAGACACAGCCCAAGTCATTCCTGGAACAAGTGAATGGAAGAATGAAAAAAAAAAAAAAAAAAAAAAAAAAAAAAAAAAGCACAAAAACAAAACAAAAACCAGAAATCTCATTTTCTGTGTTTTTCATTTCTCTTTTATTTTCATAAAAGTTTCTATATTTCTGATATCTGTAATAAGGATACCCTATGTGGAAGCATCTTCAGCTCTGTAAAGACCAGCTCTCAGTGTGTCACATTCTCATACAGTATGTGGATTTCAGGGGAGACAGCAAGGCACAGAAACTTTATAGGAATCTTGATGTTTGCTTGGGTCCTATTGGCCCAAGACCACCTCTGCCTGGATAACTTAGTCATTCCATCCAGGTTGCTGTGACAGCAAGACACAGACAGAGAGATACAGGTACATAGTTATTTGGTGTCTAATACTGCATTATTGATGCTGCATTATTTTGAGAGGGTAACTCAATTTCCTCATATGAAATTACTGTTTTCCTTTCCATATAGGTTAGGTGTAATTATATGTCCACAAGAATACCTGTAGGAAAACTGAGAGTTTGATGGCAAATGGCCTACAATTTGAATAGCACATTAACATACATTACATTATTTCATCTTTACAAAAGGCCCTAGGAAGTCCTCATTTACAGAAGAGCACATGAGGCACTAATAAAAACAGCGCCCAGGTTCCAGTCCCCATTCTTGTCAGTATAGCACCGTTGGCACTCATTCTGGAAACTGCACCAGTGACCAGAGGTCTTCATAAATATGAACCACTGTTTTTAAAGAAGTTTAAGAAAACAATTCCTAAATAGTTTAGACAGTTTTCATAAGTAAGAAATTTAAAAGCGTACGAGTCCTGCAGATCCGTGCTAAGTGCATAGACCATGCATTCAGCCTGCCCGAGTTTCTGCTCATCTCTTTCATGTCATAGCTGAGGAATTGGATGCGAGTTAACTCACCTGTGTGTCCATCACTTATGTCCTCTATAAAACAAAGTTATAGTACCAACCTAGGGAGGAAGTGCTGAGAATTAAGTGGTACTTAGAAAGAACTTGGATGCGAGTTAACTCACCTGTGTGTCCATCACTTATGTCCTCTATAAAACAAAGTTATACTACCAACCTAGTGAGGAAGTGCTGAGAATTAAGTGGTACTTAGAAAGAACGTCTGGCACTTAGAGAGTGCTCATAATGTGAGATCTATTATTAGATTTTATTGTGAAAATGATGATTACGTTTATATATACTCGTATTCTTTTGCTTTTGTAGATAGAAATCCAAACTCCTCCTGGTGTACTAGTAGGTTATGTTACTCAGATCTGGCATCCATGTCTGCCAAAGTTTATGATTCAAAAGGGGAAGAGAGAGGATGTACTAAAAATAGATGTATTTGACCATACAAAATTTAAAATATCTGTATGGCAAATACGTATATATGTTTATATACACAGACTATATAGTATATACGTACATTACTATATGTGTATTTGTGTGTATATATACATATAACACAAAGTTCAAAAATAAAAAAGTAGACTTGAAGAAAATGTTTGCAAATCTGAGGACAGATGTAGTAATGGTCTGCAGTACAGACTCTGTAGCCACAATGACTGGGTTTGAAAACCATTAATGACTTCCTGCCTATGCAACCTTGGACAAATTACTTAATGCCTTTGCTTCAGTTTTCTCAAATGAAAATTGTATATAAATATAGTGTATACTTTGCAAGATTGTTAGGGTTAAGTTACCTAAAATTGTAAAGCCTTTATATGCACTGAATAAATTAAATGTTATATAAATACTGAATTAATCATTTAATAAACACCTTTTCAGCAAGTGTTCATATGATTATATGTTTTGAATTATATAGATTTTCTATGTTTTATACTTTATTACAGTGTATTATTTTGATATTTATCTAGGTTCTATGTGCTAGTGTTTTATTTAAAGTTTTCCTATTTATATTTACATTGTGAGTGAGTCTTTAGTTTCCTATTTAGAATATCTTTACCAATTATTGGTATTAAACTTATGAATCTATAAATTTAGTACTAATATAATACACTACAAGTCTTGTCATCACACTTCTGACACCAAATGTGTGGCTCTTTTCCCTACACCAACAATTCTCCAACTCTCTAGAAACCAACTGTGTGTACTACCACTCAGTTCAATTCTGACACTAACAACCTAGAGTTAATACAACCACACAGGTTAAGGTCTCAGTCTCACAAGATTGTCCCTTACTTCAGACACCAATCACAAATCCAAGACCTCCTGTACTTTTGACCATTCAGCTATAAACAGGATTCCCACAACCCCCTCCATAGGTTTGATAATTTGCTAAAGGTGCTTGCAAATTTTAGATATGTTTACAGAGTTATTGTAAAGAATACTATAAATGATATAAATAAGTAATCAAATGAGACTACATAGGGTGAATTCCAGAAGAGTCCTGAGCACAGGAGCTTCTGTCCCCATGCTGTTGGGGTGAGCTACTTTCACAGCAAAGGAATGTGTTCACCATGTCAGAAAATCTGAATTTGTTGTTTTGAGTTTTTAGGAAGTTTCTTTATGTCGGTATCATTAATTAAACCATTGGCCATTGGTGAATAACTAAATCTTCAGTCCTACTCTCTTCTCTGCAGGTTGGGCATAAGACTGAAAGATCCAACTCTCTAATCATTGCTTGGACTTTCTGGTGTCCAGCTACCATAATGAAGTTATTGGGGGCCTCTAACCACCAGTCGTCTCATTAGTATACAAAGTCTTATCGACTGTGAAGCTACGTGACAGAAATCTGTGTGCCAGGAGCTGAGGGCAAGAAATCTGGAACAAAGTCCAAATATTATAACAAGACTCTCCTATCACTCTTATTACTCAGAAAGTTATAGGGGTTTTCTTAATTTTGTGTCAAGAAACAGAGACAAAAACTAACTATACATTTCTTATTATGTCACAAATATCAAGTTATTTCCACTAGTTGGAATCATTTTACTATAGATATTTTTGTTTTTAAAATATTATCTAGAAATTATCAAGACTTTATAATTTTTCAGTTATATGTCATTATTTATATTTTTGATTCACTATAGAAATTTATATTTTCTACTTATATAAATTTTGGTGAATTTTTAAATTTCTTGCTGTAGGAATCAAAATGGGGAAATATTAATATCTGTTAGGTCTAGTGGCAGGTTTATGGTGGCTAGTAAATTATCTTTGGCAATTTTTATTTTTAGAAATATTTCAAAATTAAAATAAATTTTAGAAACAAAATATGAAGTTTTTATTATTAGCTTCAAATCTTTAGATGACAGCCATTAGCACAGAAAACACTAAATTGTGCCATACAGAATTTCTGTTAGTCTGTTTTACCTCAACAGCATTGCAAAGTACATACCCTTCAAAATTCAGTGGCTTACAACATCAGGCATTTATTTTCATGCTCTTGGGTCTGCAGGTCAACTGTTTTTCAATGGATACAACTAGGCTCAGCTAGTTGGCTCTGATAAAGGCTGCAAACTGGCCTCAGGTGTGATCCAGGTATGTTCACTCTGGGTTTGTAGCAGCAGCAGCTACTGGGATCATGTTTTTCTAGTGGGTGTTTATCTGAGACCAAGAGCCAGACCAAACCACCTAGCCATGTTTCAGGTCACTGCTCATGCCCATCTGCTAACATTCCATTTTTCAAACAAGCCCAAGGCAGAGTCTATCAAGAGCAGGAAGATACTTTAGGCTGCAATGGGAGGGAGAAGAAAATGAATATTTCACAAACAGTAATCCATGTTATCACAATTTCATATTAGAAGTTTCTTTCAGGTTTTTTTTAAGAACCCATCCACCCCCACTCACATAAAATGAGTTTAGTTTCCCCACATTTATTAAGTTGGTTCTAACCTGAGGCAAGGTCTTCAGAGGGTGTTGCTAGCACATGTGGTACTTTGTCCAAATTTGAAAAGGACATTCCTGCCCTGGGTTGACATAACCCTGCAAGTATATATCGTGGTTAAATATCAACTACATTTAATCCCCACCTGCCCACCTGGTTAGGTGTTTTTGTCTGGGCACGCTTTTTTCAACTCTATATGATGACCCTCAGCTTTACCGGGGCAGAATTTTTACAATCCTTTTTATGTTGGAGCTCTCTTTTTCACAAACCCTTCCTTGTTGCTCACACGCCTGCTGTTATTCAGTCTCACCCCAACCCTCAGCCTGGGGCATCCCATCAAGTTGCTTATTGGTGACTTCCTTCACTCAAAACTGCCAATCTTCTTTTCTAGGTTCTTGGCATTTCATGTTTTCCTCCTGACAGTGTTTGGTAATGAACCCTCACATCATATTCAAACTTGCAGCCTATGTAAACTCTCTGTGCTTCTTTTAAAGCAAAAATCACAAGAGAGATTTTTTTACTGCCTTCCTGACAGCTCTAGGACTTTCATTGAAGAAAAAATTTCATATTTGTATACTCTTCTGCTTAAATTTTGGTTTGGATCAAGATTTATTGATGTCTTAAAGTAAAATAGAAAATGTTACAGATTTCAGATTGTTAAAGCAATTAATAACTAAAGCCAAAATGAGAGCTAAGTGACTATGCACACACAGGTCCACGCTAGGTAATTGGGAAAGATCCCAGGAGCTATTGGCCGACGACACCAGCTCAGTACTCAGCAGTAGCAGCAGCATCTTGCAGCAGCAATAGCAGCAGCAGCAGCAGCAGCAGCGGTGGTCTCTTGGGGCATCCCAGGAGCACTGGCAGCAACAGCTTGCAGCAACAGCCTCCAGAAGGAGTAGCAGCCTCCCTGTGGACCCCTGAGGGGCATCCTGGGGATGGCGGCTGCCACAGATCAGAGCCACTCATCCTTTATACTTAAGTCCATAACCCAGGACACCTGGGTGCCCACATGCATCTACATCAGACAATAGCCAAGGAACACCTGCACCGCACATGCATATTTATGTCAAATGCTTGGCAAGATTCTGAACATCTGAGGGACCCTGACTGTTTTCCTTCTCTGTCCCTACACGTACCAATTCTCTGACAGCTTTTTCAAATATCTATAAGTATGGTGCCTATATACATCTAATGAGAAATAAAATGTTCATAGTTACATGTGGTGCACAATTGTAATACAATATTTTTTCATTTTACTCCAACTTTGAAAGTATATTTTCATTAGTTTTCTAGAATTCATTAAGACTATATTTTCTTTTGTTTTATTTTGCAATTTAGATTAAATCTCTTGATGAAAAAACTGTGATTGGCAGGGTTTCTATGCATTGGTCTGGTTTTGGTAAAGAGATATTTACAGAAATTGACAACTTTGGGATCCAGTTCCCCAGAAACTTTGACATCAAAATGAAAGCTGTGATATTTGGGGCTTGTTTCCTCATTGTAAGTCTATTCTTGCTAATTTTGGTTATAGATAGTTTCTCTAGAATCATTCTAAAATAATACAGTAAATTGTTGATTTAAATATTACTTTCTTAAATTTACAGGTTTTATACAAGGGTTCCCATTTAATCCTAGCTCTGAAAATCTGTGTGGTCCTCCTGACACCCATAGTTTCTGTCTGAAGAGTCTACACGCTTTCAAATGGCAAGAGAAAGACCTCATATGTCAAGGAGTGGCCCAATTTGGGGGGGGGGGTTAACTTAAAAGTCAAAGTTAGTGCTTAGGAGAAGCATTTGAACCTAAGCTTACATAAAATAAAACTTGGTAAAATATGAGGATTTCATCTTGATTCGTTATTAAATTATATTATCTAATAAAGGTATAAACTGAAATAAGACTATACACCCAATCAAAATTCTAGATTTAACTACCAATTTACAGGAAATACATGGGATAGAGCATGAAGTTGTCTTCACATTAGAATCGCCTAGAAAGCTTTTAAATATCCCAAATACCAGGCCATAGTGCAGTTTAACTAAATCAAAAGCTCAGAGTCAGTTAGAGGTTTGTATAGTGCCCCAGGTAATTCCAATATGCCGCTGAACTTGAGAATTTGGGGACAGAGCAATGTTTCTCTACCTCAGCTACACAGTAGAAACACCTGGGTAACTTTTAAACTCCCCATGTCCAGGTTGCTCCTAACTCTATTAAATCAAGACCTCTGGAAGGGAGGTCAAGCCTTCTAGTTGTTTAGAGATCCTTGGTGATTCCAATGTGCAACCAAGGTTGGAAACACTAGATGAATATCTTACACATTGATTTGGGGATGTGATCAGAAAAACCTACAAGGTGAGAGAATATACAACAGAAAGCACCCAGTTCCTTCAACAAAAAAAAAAAAGGGCAAGAAGAAAGAAAAAATAAAGACAGGATGAAAACAGAGACTTGAGAGACATTAATTTCACACAGTTTGTGGTCTATG